TCTCCTAAACACGAGAGTTAAGTATACAACTTTAGAACACTTTCCCACCAGGAGACTCGAACCCTAGCCAGCACAGAAGCCTTCCAGCAACTGGCATAACAGGTACGCCTTAACCCGCTCCACCACCCGCTCAGACCCTTAAAAGAGATGGTAATTTCGGAGTATTTAAACACCCCAAAGATCAACACCTCCCAAGAGCACCAGAGCAAGTGAGGGGTCATTTATACGTTAATTTCATCAAGTCCCTGTTAATATGGGAAGACACAGTGTCTCTGCTTAAGGCACAACTCTCCTAAACACGAGAGTTAAGTATACAACTTTAGAACACTTTCCCACCAGGAGACTCGAACCCTAGCCAGCACAGAAGCCTTCCAGCAACTGGCATAACAGGTACGCCTTAACCCGCTCCACCACCCGCTCAGACCCTTAAAAGAGATGGTAATTTCGGAGTATTTAAACACCCCAAAGATCAACACCTCCCAAGAGCACCAGAGCAAGTGAGGGGTCATTTATACGTTAATTTCATCAAGTCCCTGTTAATATGGGAAGACACAGTGTCTCTGCTTAAGGCACAACTCTCCTAAACACGAGAGTTAAGTATACAACTTTAGAACACTTTCCCACCAGGAGACTCGAACCCTAGCCAGCACAGAAGCCTTCCAGCAACTGGCATAACAGGTACGCCTTAACCCGCTCCACCACCCGCTCAGACCCTTAAAAGAGATGGTAATTTCGGAGTATTTAAACACCCCAAAGATCAACACCTCCCAAGAGCACCAGAGCAAGTGAGGGGTCATTTATACGTTAATTTCATCAAGTCCCTGTTAATATGGGAAGACACAGTGTCTCTGCTTAAGGCACAACTCTCCTAAACACGAGAGTTAAGTATACAACTTTAGAACACTTTCCCACCAGGAGACTCGAACCCTAGCCAGCACAGAAGCCTTCCAGCAACTGGCATAACAGGTACGCCTTAACCCGCTCCACCACCCGCTCAGACCCTTAAAAGAGATGGTAATTTCGGAGTATTTAAACACCCCAAAGATCAACACCTCCCAAGAGCACCAGAGCAAGTGAGGGGTCATTTATACGTTAATTTCATCAAGTCCCTGTTAATATGGGAAGACACAGTGTCTCTGCTTAAGGCACAACTCTCCTAAACACGAGAGTTAAGTATACAACTTTAGAACACTTTCCCACCAGGAGACTCGAACCCTAGCCAGCACAGAAGCCTTCCAGCAACTGGCATAACAGGTACGCCTTAACCCGCTCCACCACCCGCTCAGACCCTTAAAAGAGATGGTAATTTCGGAGTATTTAAACACCCCAAAGATCAACACCTCCCAAGAGCACCAGAGCAAGTGAGGGGTCATTTATACGTTAATTTCATCAAGTCCCTGTTAATATGGGAAGACACAGTGTCTCTGCTTAAGGCACAACTCTCCTAAACACGAGAGTTAAGTATACAACTTTAGAACACTTTCCCACCAGGAGACTCGAACCCTAGCCAGCACAGAAGCCTTCCAGCAACTGGCATAACAGGTACGCCTTAACCCGCTCCACCACCCGCTCAGACCCTTAAAAGAGATGGTAATTTCGGAGTATTTAAACACCCCAAAGATCAACACCTCCCAAGAGCACCAGAGCAAGTGAGGGGTCATTTATACGTTAATTTCATCAAGTCCCTGTTAATATGGGAAGACACAGTGTCTCTGCTTAAGGCACAACTCTCCTAAACACGAGAGTTAAGTATACAACTTTAGAACACTTTCCCACCAGGAGACTCGAACCCTAGCCAGCACAGAAGCCTTCCAGCAACTGGCATAACAGGTACGCCTTAACCCGCTCCACCACCCGCTCAGACCCTTAAAAGAGATGGTAATTTCGGAGTATTTAAACACCCCAAAGATCAACACCTCCCAAGAGCACCAGAGCAAGTGAGGGGTCATTTATACGTTAATTTCATCAAGTCCCTGTTAATATGGGAAGACACAGTGTCTCTGCTTAAGGCACAACTCTCCTAAACACGAGAGTTAAGTATACAACTTTAGAACACTTTCCCACCAGGAGACTCGAACCCTAGCCAGCACAGAAGCCTTCCAGCAACTGGCATAACAGGTACGCCTTAACCCGCTCCACCACCCGCTCAGACCCTTAAAAGAGATGGTAATTTCGGAGTATTTAAACACCCCAAAGATCAACACCTCCCAAGAGCACCAGAGCAAGTGAGGGGTCATTTATACGTTAATTTCATCAAGTCCCTGTTAATATGGGAAGACACAGTGTCTCTGCTTAAGGCACAACTCTCCTAAACACGAGAGTTAAGTATACAACTTTAGAACACTTTCCCACCAGGAGACTCGAACCCTAGCCAGCACAGAAGCCTTCCAGCAACTGGCATAACAGGTACGCCTTAACCCGCTCCACCACCCGCTCAGACCCTTAAAAGAGATGGTAATTTCGGAGTATTTAAACACCCCAAAGATCAACACCTCCCAAGAGCACCAGAGCAAGTGAGGGGTCATTTATACGTTAATTTCATCAAGTCCCTGTTAATATGGGAAGACACAGTGTCTCTGCTTAAGGCACAACTCTCCTAAACACGAGAGTTAAGTATACAACTTTAGAACACTTTCCCACCAGGAGACTCGAACCCTAGCCAGCACAGAAGCCTTCCAGCAACTGGCATAACAGGTACGCCTTAACCCGCTCCACCACCCGCTCAGACCCTTAAAAGAGATGGTAATTTCGGAGTATTTAAACACCCCAAAGATCAACACCTCCCAAGAGCACCAGAGCAAGTGAGGGGTCATTTATACGTTAATTTCATCAAGTCCCTGTTAATATGGGAAGACACAGTGTCTCTGCTTAAGGCACAACTCTCCTAAACACGAGAGTTAAGTATACAACTTTAGAACACTTTCCCACCAGGAGACTCGAACCCTAGCCAGCACAGAAGCCTTCCAGCAACTGGCATAACAGGTACGCCTTAACCCGCTCCACCACCCGCTCAGACCCTTAAAAGAGATGGTAATTTCGGAGTATTTAAACACCCCAAAGATCAACACCTCCCAAGAGCACCAGAGCAAGTGAGGGGTCATTTATACGTTAATTTCATCAAGTCCCTGTTAATATGGGAAGACACAGTGTCTCTGCTTAAGGCACAACTCTCCTAAACACGAGAGTTAAGTATACAACTTTAGAACACTTTCCCACCAGGAGACTCGAACCCTAGCCAGCACAGAAGCCTTCCAGCAACTGGCATAACAGGTACGCCTTAACCCGCTCCACCACCTGCTCAGACCCTTAAAAGAGATGGTAATTTCGGAGTATTTAAACACCCCAAAGATCAACACCTCCCAAGAGCACCAGAGCAAGTGAGGGGTCATTTATACGTTAATTTCATCAAGTCCCTGTTAATATGGGAAGACACAGTGTCTCTGCTTAAGGCACAACTCTCCTAAACACGAGAGTTAAGTATACAACTTTAGAACACTTTCCCACTAGGAGACTCGAACCATTTTGGGGCACACGTGAGGAACACAAATGCGAACAAGCCTGAATGGTCCCCAGGACTATATGCGAATGAAAACTCACACCCCAGAATTGACTCGAACCCATACTCCCATACTTAATCCATACTTGGATTAAGGCGCCCTGTAGTTACCAGTTGCGTTGCTCCTGGGAGTATGGGTTCGAGTCACTTCTGGAGTGTGAGTTTTCATTCGCATATAGTCCTGGGGACCATTCAGGCTTGTTCGCATTTGTGTTCCTCACGTGTGCCCCTGCTATGCCCAAGTTACCATCCAGTTGCGTTGCTCCTGGGAGTATGGGTTCGAGTCACTTCTGGAGTGTGAGTTTTCATTCGCATATAGTCCTGGGGACCATTCAGGCTTGTTCGCATTTGTGTTCCTCACGTGTGCCCCAAAGAATGAGGTGATTTGGTGAAATGCTATGCCCAAGATTACCATCCGAGTTGCCGTCGGGGAAGTGGCTCAAATAGCCTCGGCTATCACTTCCTTTTGACGGCCGTGATGGTCAAGTGGATTAAGGCGCCCTGTAGTTACCAGTTGCGTTGCTCCTGGGTGTATGGGTTCGAGTCACTTCTGGGGTGTGAGTTTTCATTAGCATATAGTCCTGGGGACCATTCAGGCTAGTTCGCATTTGTGTTCCTCACGTGTGCCCCAAAGAATGAGGTGATTTGGTGAAATGCTATGCCCAAGATTACCATCCGAGTTGCCGTCGAGGAAGTGGCTCAAATAGCCTCGGCTATCACTTCCTTTTGACGGCCGTGATGGTCAAGTGGATTAAGGCGCCCTGTAGTTACCAGTTGCGTTGCTCCTGGGAGTATGGATTCGAGTCACTTCTGGGGTGTGAGTTTTCATTCGCATATAGTCCTGGGGACCATTCAGGCTTGTTCGCATATATATATATATATATACGAGAATGACTGAGTGACTGCAAGGAATATGACTTTTACGTATATCAGACAGGATTCTTGCACTTGGACTGGAGGGTAGAGCCACGGCCTCTCTTCTTGCAAGGTTGGCGTTCGATCCCCGATGATTGAAACGGTTGGGCATCGTTCTCTGACTCTGTTCTCATATCACAGTTCATAGTCTGTCTTCATAACCCTTCCTACTGCTTTGTAGTCATAATGGGTATGAACTTTATCCTGGTAAAGTTCCTTATCTCTGTAAAGGGGGGTGGAAGCCCAGTTGATTAAAGGTACCTCCCATAAGTTGAACACAATCTTCGTTCATTGTCACAAAAACGACTGTTCCTACGCTTGCAAACCTTAAAACGTTACAGATTCGCTTACAAAGTATTATTACAACTGAACAAGTTACATCAACCAGTAATATTCCGGAACAGCAGCGCCAGTAACCCAAAGGTGAGCCAGACCCTTTCTGGCGCATTATCTTGTCATAATAACTTGTGAACAAACAAAGACATTATACTTTAACTTGGTAACATAATCAGGATGAGAAAAAAGACCAAAGTTTTCAAATTGCATTTTACAGAAAGAGAAACTTCCCTTATAACTGTATATAAACATTATTAGGTGACAATCTTGCAGCCTGATATTAAGAGTAAATATCTAACTTTATTGAACAAAAGTATTTAAACTTTCACATTAAATTGCTGACTATATAACGAAAACAATTGCAACACGAATGCGCTCTCCGCTAATATGATGCTGACATGTGCATTTACACTTTAGATTAGGTTAGGTAATGTTAGGTTAGTTAGGGCACTTAAACAGTACTTTTTCAGAAGCACACAGGCTGGAGGCTGCACTTGATTATATGTGCTAATGAGGGATATGTACCATTACTACACATCACCCCACTAACATGTGTTCTAAGAGTTCAACCCTCCATGGGCCTGCAAACTAATTCTACAGTAACTCATATGTCTATATACTAATAGTACAGTACCTTATAGATCTGTATCCTAATATTACAGCATCTCATGGACTTGTATCCTAATACTACACCACCTTGTGGGCTTGTATCCTAATATTACAGCAATGAATTGGCTTGTATCCCAATATTACAGCACCTTACGGGTCTTTAGTCTAATATTACAGGGGCTTGTATCCCAATATTACAGCATCTCTTCGGTCTTCACACTTGCGAGCTTCCCGACGCCATGTGGTCCGTCAATAGCTCATCCGTCTCTGCTTCAAAGGAAACAGAGAATTAGCATAAATGGATTTAAGTCCGAGCGGAAAACTAATGCAAGTGGAGCGCCCCCAGAGCTCTGACCTGGGACCTCTTTTGTTTACTACATACATACACGCGCGCGCGCGCATACACACACACACGCTGGGAAGACGGGACACCACGAGCGTAGCTCTCATCCTGTAAATACACTTAGGTAATTACACACACACACACACACACACACGGGCCGTGTGTGTGTGAATAATATATATATATATATATATATATATATATATATATATATATATATATATATATATATATATATATATATATATATTATTAAATATGACCGAAAAAGTAAGATTAATAATTCTAACAGGAATTTTCTCAATCTTTCGTACATTTCTTTTCACTGTTGGAGGTAAATCAAAAATCAATTCTCCAAAATTCATTTTTATTTCTAGTCTGACGCGTCAACAGGTCCTAGTCAACAACGGCTTCTCCAATGGTTTCGTCGAAGACATCATAAGAAGGAAAGTGAAACGCCATGCAACCTCTGAAGAGACAACTAACACAACACTTATACCCCCTATTAGACTATTTTACAGGAACTTCTTTTCCACAGCTCATAAAACGGAGGATAGGGTCCTGAAAGATATTGTTAATAGAAACGTTATCCCTACAGACAAAAATCAGAGGATACAACTGACGATTTACTATAAAACCAGAAAAACGGCCAGCCTACTCATGAGAAACTCTCCAGACACAAAACAGAACACTTTAAAAGAGACTAACGTCGTCTATGCCTTCAAATGCCCTCTTGGGACTTTAAGCTCCAAAAAACCCAGTATATAGGCAAGACAACAACATCTCTTTCTAGGCGTTTAACGATGCATAAGCAACAGGGCTCCATTAAGGAACATATAATCTCTTCCCACAACCAAACCATCGTCAGTGAAATCCTAGTAAACAACACAGAAATCATCGATAGATACAGCGATAGCAGGCGGCTTGACGTTTGCGAGGCACTACACATCAAGAAGTCAACACCAGCAATCAACAGCCAATTAATGCACAACTATATTCTACCCACCTCAAGACTCCGCTCCAATATAGAAGCATCAAGAAATATGGACCAATAGGCTTTCTACAAACACTTCTATTCAATACCCATTGTTTCGTGTTCTGTCTTGTGTTGATGAAATTAATACCCTATTAATGCCACCTCTTGTTCTGTCTTGTGTTGATGAAATTAATACCCTATTAATGCCACCTCACCCCATCCACCTCACTCAAATGTAGATATAAAATCGGAGATGCGTAAGTTCTATTCAGTTGTGTATTTGTAAACTAAAGTCTTTGAAAATGTAATAAGTTTTACGAAACGCGCTCCTGTCGCGTCAGACTAGAAATAAAAATGAATTTTGGAGAATTGATTTTTGATTTACCTCCAACAGTGAAAAGAAATGTACGAAAGATTGAGAAAATTCGTGTTAGAATTATTAATCTTACTTTTTCGGTTATATTTAATAATATATGTCTACAGGAAAGACTGCTACCAAAATATACTAATATATATATACAGAGCACCACTTGGTTTCCGAACTTTAGTTATCCGAAACTTCCAGTTTCCCGATTGGGGTTGGGGAGTCATGCTACCCGAACAAAGTTCGGGTAGGAAGGGGTCCACCAAGCGTCACGCCGGCTTGTGGTGGTGGGTGGGCGATGGTCCAGTTTGCCCACTGTGACTTCACAGATTCACGGCCTATTATTCCTATTATTTTGAATTGCCATAAGGCTGGAATGTTCATTCTGTGCTTTTGTTTTACATATCTGCACAATCAAGAAACATCTGTGCACCATGTTGGCTCCAAATGCACGCATTGCGTCAGTGATGGCTGACTGGTGGGTGGATGGACGATGGAGCTGAGGTGGGAGGCAGTATGAATGAGGGGGGGGGGAGAATCAGTGAGAGAGGGGGGGAGAGAGATGCTAGGAGGGAGGGGGAGGTATGGAGAGATGTTAGGAGGTAGGGAGAGATGCTAAGAGGGAGGGGGAGGTAGGGAGAGATGCTAGGAGGTAGGCAGGAAGGGGTGGAAGTAGTGAGAATTAGGGAGGGAAAGGCAGGCTGGCAGGCACAGGCAGGCAGGCAGGCACAGGTAGGCAGACAAGCAGGAAGGCAGGCAGGCTAGCTTGCAGGCAGGGAGTGAGTGGGAGTCACGCGGTTGAACCGCGTGACCTTGAGAGATGGGATGTAGGGGGGGCGGGTGGTTTGTTGGTGGTGGGGGTGAGACCGGCTCATTCCCGAAGATAAGCCTAACACACACTACCCGTTAGCATGATGGCAGGGGGGGAGGCAGGCTGGCTGGAAAGGAAGCAGGCTGGCAGGCTGGGAAGGAGGCAGGCTGGCAGGCTGGGAAGGAGGCAGGCTGGGAAGGAGGCAGGCTGGGAAGGAGGCAGGCTGGCAGGCTGGGAAGGAGGCAGGCAGGCAGGCTGGGAAGGAAGCAGGCTGGCAGGCTGGGAAGGAGGCAGGCTGGCAGGCTGGGAAGGAGGCAGGCTGGGAAGGAGGCAGGCTGGCAGGCTGGGAAGGAGGCAGGCTGGCAGGCTGGGAGGGAGGCAGGCTGGCAGGCTGGGAAGGAGGCAGGCCTGCATTCTCTCCAAGGTTGAAGGAGGCAGGCTGGGAAGGAGGCAGGCTGGGAAGGAGGCAGGCTGGGAAGGAGGCAGGCTGGGAAGGAAGCAGGCTGGGAAGGAGGCAGACAGGCAGGCTGGGAAGGAGGCAGGCTGGGAAGGAGGCAGGCTGGGAAGGAAGCAGGCTGGCAGGCTGGGAAGGAGGCAGGCTGGGAAGGAGGCAGGCTGGGAAGGAGGCAGGCTGGGAAGGAGGCAGGCTGGGAAGGAGGCAGGCTGGGAAGGAGGCAGGCTGGGAAGGAGGCAGGCTGGGAAGGAGGCAGGCTGGGAAGGAAGCAGGCTGGCAGGCTGGGAAGGAGGCAGGCAGGCAGGCAGGAAGCGATATATGGGTGTTGAAGTGAACTGTGAACCACGTGACCTTTGAGAGTGTGTGTGTGTGTGTGTATGGGTTTGGGGTGGGGGGTGGGGGTGGTGTGTCGGTGGTGGGGGGAGAGGGGGAGGTGTGTCGGTGGTGGGGGGAGAGGGGGAGGTGTGTCGGTGGTGGGGGGAGAGGGGGAGGTGTGTCGGTGGTGGGGGGAGAGGGGGAGGTGTGTCGGTGGTGGGGGGAGATGGGGAGGTGTGTCGGTGGTGGGGGGAGAGGGGGAGGTGTGTCGGTGGTGGGGGGAGAGGGGGAGGTGTGTCGGTGGTGGGGGGAGAGGGGGAGGTGTGTCGGTGGTGGGGGGAGAGGGGGAGGTGTGTCGGTGGTGGGGGGAGAGGGGGAGGTGTGTTGGTGGTGGGGAAGGGACCGGCTGACTCCGTAAGCCTAACCACACTCCACAGAGCTGTGACCCAGATTTGTTTCTTAAATGTACAGTACATCATCGTATATTTTAGGCAGGATGTGCCTGCAGGCTGGCAGGAAACATCCAGAGGATGTTTGCCAGACGTCTTAATAATCAGTTAGGAACAATTAAGGACTTTTATAAAGCGGATCAGGACTTCACTTATTGATGAGTACAAACAAAACACGGTCGCATTTACGCCATGAACCTGACGATTTTTTCCCCTAGAGTTTTTTTCATAAATTTTTCGGAAAAATTTCTTTTTACATTTCTAGTTTATTTTTTCCCCTCTATTTCTCGTATACGAACTTACATGTTAACCGACGGGTCTCGTCCCCAAGGGGTTCGGAAACCAAGTGGTGCTCTGTATATATATATATATATATATATATATATATATATATATATATATATATATATATATATATATATATGTATATATGTATATATGTATATATATATATATATATATATGTATATATGTATATATATATATATATATATATATATATATATATATATATATATATATATATATATATATATATATATATATATATATATATATATATATATATATATATAGATATATAACTTTCGCTTGAAACAATCAAGGAGCCTACGTTTATTGTGTTGCCTAGTCATTTCTTTCATAAGTCATCTGCCCTATTTCTAGACCATTATATACCGTTATGTATATCACCCTTTAAGATTTCTAGTTAATGAATTTCTAGATTTGTTATACTCTTTGCGTTTCTAGATAATGCATTTAATGCTTTCTCAATCTCTCTTCGTAAGCGAGGTATCTAATTCCAAAGATTAATTTTATCAGTCTTATCTCCACGTACTAAACTGAATTTATGTCTATTCTATAGACCGAAACTTAATTTTATGTTCCGAATGGGACATAATAAGGATAAGATAAAGCTGAAAAGAAATATTAAATGACTTTCTGCTCTCAGATATTAATCCTATTATATTATTATACTTATTTTTAATTTTCATTACTATAAAGTGTTTATAATTGGCATGAAAATTCATTTAAAATTACTCTGCAACACATTTTGATGATCTTTGCATTAGACATGAACAAATGTGTAATATGATTTAAGCTCTTTGCAACGTTAACAATGCATTTAACTGTAAATGAAAAGTCAGCAAATATAATGAGTGATTCCAAATCTTGGGAATTCCAAGAACCTATCTTAATTTAGTCCTTTGTATAGTGTTAGTAATTTTAATTGAAAACAATAACATTACAAGCAACACTAAGAGATTGAAAACTAAGGACGTGTGTTTTTTAAAGTCTTATATGGCTGACAATGTGAAAACAAAAATTCATGACAGGTAATTCTTCCAGTTTAAAAGTGAAATAATGGCGAAGTTAGACGTGGACACTCATGGAACCTCACCAGGAAGAAGTGGTGGTTTTAATTGTGGAGGAAGTGCCGAATTGGCTGCCGTCCCAAACATTCCGGATTAAAGATCAAGTCGAGGGTATTCGTACAGGCTGTAAGAAAATATTATTTTGATTAATTAATATAATATTCCGACTAAGAGGACTGTTTTGAATGATTATGCTAAATATCATCTGAGTTCATCTTCCAAAGTGACTGGTTATGCAAGAAAGACCTGAGTTAGTCTGTTAGTTTCACTGATTATGATAAGATAAATCTAAATTCATCAATTGTTTACCTAGAGTTATGGAAGGGAAACCTGAATTTGTTTGTTAGTTTGACTGGTTATTATATAATATTATACATAATCTAAACAGTTAAATATTTAAGTACAAGTTTACCAGTAAGAATGAATAATTAAATCACATTCATTACATACTCGACTTTTCAAGCAAGTGCAAAGACGAACCTACAATATAAAACATCCATAAAGAAGTAACCACATAATGAAATACATTCCTAGTAGCTATGTTATTAACACTTAAGATAAGTTGCACTATACTGACGGTTGGGTGTCGTTACGACCTCCTTGGGCAGGTTCTCACACTGACCCTTCTCCCGGTCACACTCTGTTGACACATGACACATTATCAGTCAACCTCTGTTGTCAGGTGTCTACCTCAGTAATATTTAACGAAAAAAGCACTTGGATTATATATATATGTTCCGGTGAACTAAAGGCAATACAATTATTATCATTATTATTATTATCAGTGCTTGTAGTAGTATAATTATTATCATTCATCATGCACGATATAATTATCATTTAACTATTCCAGTAATAATTTAAACAAGTAATAATAATTCATGATGCAAATCAACTTTGCTCTAAGTAAAGGCTCCATCACGTGTCTTAACTCACCCGCAACCATAGTCTCAATGAAGACTCGCTCCTGAGCCATGACCTTCACCTCACCCAGCCACTTCTCAGTGTCCTTCTCCGGGTCTGGCGAGCCTTTGCTGATCATACACAGGTCAAAGGCGCACGAATCTGGCGGGAGAGAGGGAGGAGAAAGGTGGTGTTGACTCTATGGTCACTCCTCATATTGTCTCTATACCGAATATTCATTTTCAGGGCATTTAATTCGTATTTATTTGTTTCTCTAGAGAATGTATTTTAATCAAGTTTTGTCGATCGCATCATCAGCTTCTATTCATTAATCTCTGTTTCTGTGTTTATCTTTCTGTTTCTATATTCCCCTTGAATGTTTTACTTTTAATTCTCTTTTCCCTGGCGGAAGTCTTATCAACAAGTCTTGCTGAGCTCCACGGAGGCACTCTGGTCATCCCCCTGATGGGATTTTTTGCCCACTAGTCCCTTGCTGACCTCCATGGAGGGACTCTAACTATTCCCTGGTGGTAGTTTTACCCACAAGCACCTGGCTGACCTCCATGGAGGGACTCTGACTATTCCCTGGTGGTAGTCTTGCCCACAAGCACCTGGCTGACCTCCATGGAGGGACTCTGGCTATTCCCTGGTGGTAGTCTTACCCACAAGCACCTGGCTGAGCTCCCCAGAGGCACCCTGGCCATTGGATTTTGCCCCACCAACAGTCTGCTGGCACAGTGCCAACATTCTCTTCCATGAAACATTGTCGTGCTGGCATTGTTTGAACGTTGCTTGAGACTCCTGTAGATAAAATAGAAAAAATCCTGTTATTCTTTGACAACTTATTAAAGAAGCAATTTCCAACATAATAAAGACAGTGGACCTTCCACAGCAATCCTGTAATATTTGTTTGTGGAGTTTTAATAGTATTACTGATTTTTTGTTTATTCTAAGCTTAATTTAGGATACAGAAGAATATATATAATGATAAGGGATTAAATAAATATTCAACAAAAGGTATTCAAACTAGAAAAAATAAAATATTTTATTATACCGGTAGTTCTAATTAAATATTCTTTTAACATAGTTCCCAATAAAGTTTTGTATATAATAAAAGGTGATGGTTAATTTCTCATTTGCAGTGCTTTATTGGAACACTGAGAGAAGAAAACTAATTTCTATTATCTTTCTTTAGTGCAAATAAATGCTTGATGCTGCTCAAAATTAATTAGTTGCAATATCCGCATATGATTAGAAATTCCAAAATGTATAAATTATCGACAGTATATAGTTTATAAAGAATAAATTTAAGGATTAAAGCATATCTATTTATCCTATTGATTTATGACAGGATATAAATCCTAATTATCATTACTATGGCTCACTATTGTTGGGAGACAAGAAGCCGAATAGGGTTATCGAGGCCCCCCCCAACCCATAATCCCCATACGCCAAGGACTGACGGGTCAACAGGATTCAACCCACGACAGTTTAGTTGTCACTCAGCAGACAACATTCTAACTAACCTTGTTGATGGATCTCCTGCGTCTCCCGGCGGCTGTGCAGGCGGGGTTGGTCTGGTCCGGTGTCTGCAGGCATAATATTGCGGTTAGTTTAGCTCTACCTCCGTAGTGTCTGTCAGATGTTGAACACAACACCCACAATATGTGTCAGTGTGAGGTTCGACCCTCAGGAGCGCTCTATGGTGTAAAATGGCACTTTTGCAGGACAGTTTCCGCCACTCACTGCTCCTAAGCCGTGATTTGCTTACATTACACTGTGTATTACCTTCCAGGACTCGGCGAACACGGCAGGGGGGTTGAGCGTAGGGTTGTACGGCACGTTGTTCCTAGTAGTGAAGTCGTTGCCAGTGTTCTTGTCCGGAATACCACACAAGCCGCGAAGCTCAGAATGTAGATTAGGGTTGGCCCACACGTCGAAGCGATTCTTGCAGTGCTGGAGCTGAAAAGGCAGTAGTGAAAAGAGGTGGTGAAAGGGTAGCAGGAATGGCCCCCCAAAGGGTCCCTAGGTAATAATCTACTCTTATTTGTTAAATATAGATGTGACTCTTATCAAGATAGAGGTTCGGGTGCATCTACCAGTCATGGAGACATGGCGAGAGTTGTAGAGACTGGTATAACAATCTGACAGTCTAAAGCTATCTTTGGCAAGCACCTTCATATTACAACTTTGCAGGATTATAAAGAAATATTATACCACTCAAATCAAGATTAAAACCAGAAGACGCGACCAGGCCATTAGCATTACATGAGAATGAGAAGGAGCCATAAGAAGACGACACCGCAAACACTGTTTATGTAGGCCAGACGTAAATCTGTGTATTTATGAATTTATGTTTGTAGGTTAGATTAGCATTTTAAAAGCACCCTTCTGGGGTTGATTGTTCTATAAATCACTGAACTATATGTTCAACAGATCTCTAACCCTGTACATGGAGGATAGAAGAAAATGTATATATATGCTGGCTAGCATTGTAATTGTGGCCACGACTGCGGTAGTAAATAATAACAAAGAAACTATACATGTACGATAAGAAGCAAGATTATTGTATAAAAATGTATTATTTTAATTTAGATTTAACTAAAAATAATGCAGCCTAAGTGGATTTACCGCAAGACCTTCAGAGATCAGCGCCATGAGGCACTCTCCCTGTCGTTAAACTTACCATAAAACCTCCATACACCAACATCTTTAGGCACTCTGCCTAGCCTCAGGCGCACGTTACGATTCTGAGAGCCCAGCACCCTGAGACTCTCTCCCTGGCGCCAGACTTACCAAAAGACCTTGAGAGCCCAGAATCCTGAGACATTCTCCCTGGCGCCAGACTTACCAAAAGACCTTGAAAGCCTCCTGAGACATTCTCCCTGGCGCCAGAGTTACCAAAAGACCTTCAGAACCCCCTGAGACATTCTCCCTGGCGCCAGACTTACCACAAGACCTTGAGAGCCCAGAATCCTGAGACATTCTCCCTGGCGCCAGACAAGGACATCGTGCGTGACTCCTCCAGAGGTCACCCTGTGGGCGTAGGGACCCGCTGGCACCTCAATCTCTTCACCGTTTACACGAATCTGCAGAACACAAAATTGTTTCACAAATATACACAAATTAATAACGGAGGGAGAACAGGAATGAATATCAGAGAATTAAATATAATTGTGCTAAATAGTAAATACAAAAAATGAGGTACATTCAGAAACAATGTAGACTGAACTATATTAAAATAATCCAGGCCTAATAATTGTATCTATTTGTAATCACAATACCTCAATAAATGAGAAGGAAGGTATATATCTAGGACATCAACAACAGCAGAACAAAATATGATTGGTTAAACACTCTACAGACATTCAAACCCGCATTTCATACGTTATGTGAGTTGTTTGTGGTCGCAATAGTAGCCAATTATACTAAAGTAGGGCATGAGGGTCAACTCACACCCACCCTAAGACACTATACAATCACAACTCACCATGGAAAGCTATTATTTTTATTTAGACATAAATATTTCTCCGGGATTTTTCGAACAAAATCGTTAATATATTATAGTAAACCATAAAAAAAATGAAGACCATCTCTGTACTTAACACTTTTTATAAATATGTTTGTAAGCAATGATAACACTTATCTCCAAAGTTCTTCCAATTAATATTTTTGTATGTATAATAACAAGATTTATCTTTTTATTACGTAAGAATAACCGCAGTAATGTAAATTCTTGGTAATTAATAAGGATTTATGAGCAAAAATCAATTCTCACAAGTTTCTATGGTAAAAAAATGGAAATTGATGTAAGACGCATTGGGCTTGGAAACCCCCTTAAACTTTAGCTGATGTTGACCTTCTTCAAAGAATTAATATTGATATGTTTGTTTTATTTGAAGTGATATGTAATGACCGTGTGGAGAAGACTCTTGATTGGTCCAGAGATCTCTTGGAAATACCAAAACAATTTCATATGCACATGTGATAATTTGTTTATCTGTACATTCTCTCTATTTATGAACATAATAATTATATATAATAAGAGAACATAATTCTCTTTATATTATGTTCGGAAATTAGAGCAAAGTCTTTGAAAATCTGCCTCACAAAATACTAATTGTACATAGAGGTCCATGGTTAGGGAGGTTATCATCAATACTACACAGGGAGGTTATCATCAATACTATACCAACAGCACTATAGAATGGACATTAATTATATAGGAAGCGAACAGAGAAAGATGTCAAAGTTAATTCAGGGCAACAAAGGCCTCTAGTTCAAGGAAGAATAAACAAAATAATTTTACATTCTACAGATAAGCGAAGATTGAAGACGTACATGTCAGAAATATGTAAATGAAGGAAAGAGTATAACAAGGGAGATATTAAAACGGGGCTAAATATATCAACACAAAATAGGACAGAAAAAAATGGATAAAAACTGGATACGTTTAGAAAAGATCTCGATAAATACTGGCCTTGAGATAGGGTTGTAAAATTATTGAACACATTGTTAGGTGACAAAGAACTTGATGTCACTGCATTATTATTATCGTAGGTTAGACATATGTAAGTGTTGATGGATGCTAATAGTAGATGCCTCGCATGGGCCTATTGGCCTTCAGTAAATTCCTGTATTCTTATTTTCTAATACCTACAAAACACCTTTAATTGTTATTGATTTATCTATCTACAGTCCTGTTTGTATGTTTGCTTACACACGTGTAAAACCACTAGTATAAAAACATACATATCACTGCGTATCCGGCCATGAGTCTGGCCCCTCTTTCTTCATAATCACATGTTTCGTGCTCTGGAAATGTCGACTCACCTTGAAAATGCCTGGAGAAGCGAGTCCCCATTCTCCTATCTCAATCTCAAGCTCCCGGTTGTCTTTGAAGGTGGTCTTTTGGACGCAAGAGGGCATGTTGTAGCAGCGCCTGGCGAAGGTCTCTCTTTGAGTAAATCGTTCTCAACACTTCAATGCGTTCATATATTTTTCACTAACTCTGCATTTTGTTTTAGCGTAGCTATGTATAAGGAAATATATAATACTGAACTATGCCTCGAGAGGACTGCTTCTCAAAGAAACTCACTGGAACTGTGCGAAGATGCCGTAATCAGGATTAAGGCTGTTCCCTTTCTGGGAGATGGCGTATTTGCAGTCTCCGTGGTAGTCGAACCTGTGACGGTCGTAGCTCCAGAAGTGGGGGTCGTCGAAGACCTCGCACTGCGAACCTGCGGTTGGAAATTCACTCTGAACTTCAAGTAAATACTTTCCCATGCCACTATATTGTTCTCACTCCCTATTGCTGCTTTAAGAAGGAAACACATATGCTAGAAAGTAAGCTTCCTGCTTTCTTGCTATTCAAAATTCTTCTCTATCTTCGTTCCTTCACTCATAGCTCATCTCCTGTTGCTATTCTGACCTTTGACATGAACTATTTTGACCTGGCTCCCCTTACTCATAACCGCTCTTCAGCTGACTCAAAACACATCTACACCTACCTCCCGTTACTCACAATCCATTTCGGAACTAACCAACCCATTTTCACTTGCCTCTTGGTACATACACTCACTCTCCACCTATCTCTTGGTGCATGTAATAACTCTCCACTTGCCTCCAAGGATTCACAAACCCCCAACACATGTTTAAAGGTGCTCTAACACTCTTTCTACCTATTGTGGCTCAACACTATTATCCACCTGCCTCTCAGTGCTTACAACCCTAGAAAACTTGAATCATGATATGCTCACCCTTCACCAAATGTACTACAGTAGGCACGGTACTACAACACAAAACTAACCACAGAGTACTCAACCCACCATCCAGTACTCACAACAGGACATTCAGTACTCACAATGTGTCTCAATCTCTCCCGTGGGCTTCCAGTTGCCGCCCTCACAAGTCATCTTGGCGCAGCCAGCAGGATATACTAGGCCCGGCTGGTAGATGTTCAATCGGAACTCACAACCTGCAGAAGATCACAACCACTCAGAATCTGGGTAAGATCACAACCACTCAGAGCCTGGGTAAGATCATAACCACTCAGAGCCTGGGTAAGATCACAACCACTCTTATCCGGAGAAGGATCGCAGAGAGAGAGAATGAAGAGAAGAGAGAGAGAGAGAGAGAGAGAGAGAGAGAGAGAGAGAGAGAGAGAGAGAGAGAGAGAGAGAGAGAGAGAGAGAGAGAGAGAGAGAGAATGAAGAGAAGAGACAGCGAGAGAGAGAATGAAGAGAAGAGAGAGAGAGAGAGAGCTTATTACACTTAACAAAACAACTTACAGCCAGAAGCCTTCACGTCGCCGACAAAACGGGGCACAGCAGAGCCTTTGTTGCAGACAATCCTCATACACTTGTGAGGAATGCCAAGCAACACGGTGCCGTGAGGGACTAACCTGCCGCCTTGGAAGCATGATGATAGCCCCAGATCATAATCAAAACCTGTGGAGTATAAATATGTGTGGGCATTACACCAACCACTAACATTACACCAAATCAAATCACCAAAACATTACACCAAATCACTAACACAAGTGTTTGAATGATTAAAGTAGGGAAGTGTGGTTGGAAACTCTCTCCACAAGCCTACAGACTGTCATATGTAACAGCGCCCGCTGAGCGCTCTACCCGCCCTTGAACGCCCTACACGCCCTTGAACGTCTGCACGCCCGCCCACGCTGAACGTCGGCACGTCCTACCCGCCCTTGAACGCATGCAAGCCCTCGAGCAGAAGAACCAGAAGCTGTAGCAAGAGTCCTACAGACCTGGCAAATTAACAGGCTGAAGTAACCAGGCCACCTGTCACTAATAGTTAACTTCACATTCTTCTCCCGTTGACATGGACAAGTTAGACACCTTAGTCTTTCACAATGCTCTGCAAACACTTCTTCCAGAGCACACGCACTGATCCCAGTCAAAGCTGCAAGTGTGCTTGGGGCTTTAAAAGGTTTTAATAGTCTTTAAAAGACTCTGAATTGCTTAATCTTCGCATTCCGTTACTGGTATGTTAAGATCAATATTAAAATTCATTTAAAACTTCAACTCTTCTTTTAATATAAAAAAAAATTATTCTGAAGCGTAAACATGGATTGAATAATATTTAGGTTATGACTTTTTGACCAGACCACACACTAGAAGGTGAAGGGACGACGACGTTTCGGTCCGTCCTGGACCATTCTCAAGTCGAAACGTCGTCGTCCCTTCTAGTGTGTGGTCTTGTCAACATTCTTCAGCCACGTTATTGTGACTCATTGCCTGCATACCTGCATAGGTTATGAATTTTTTAACATATGTAGCGGTACCTTGTGCCACGAGAGGCGCCGCTGCCATCACCACCAACGCCAGCACCAGGATGAACGGTGGTGGCGCCATCTTCAGGGCCTTGTACACTTCTGTCGATTATGAAATACCACTTAATAAAAAATTAATATTATTATGCAATATTATATCACTTAAGTCACTATTTATCATGCGATAAGGCCTCACAGAGCGTACTACACTGAGAATTCTTGGCACTTTTCCTGTTACTGAGAAGTATTCTTACGGCGTCTAAGAAGGAAGTTGATGGTGAAATCATGTTCACTATTGTCCCAGCATGATACAATAATACATGTTCACTATTGTCCCAGCATGATACAATTATACATGTTCACTATTGTCCCAGCAAGATACAATGATACATGTTCACTATTGTCCCAGCATGATACAATGATACATGTTCACTATTGTCCCAGCATGATATAATGATTCGCACTATAAATATTGTTACCTACATGATACATAATATTATTAATCACAAACAAATTATTGGTGAAGAAAACGACAGATTGTTAAATATTTGGATGAATGCACTGTGTACATAACTAACAGATACTCTCATCTCTCTCTCTCTCTCTCTCTCTCTCTCTCTCTCTCTCTCTCTCTCTCTCTCTCTCTCTCTCTCTCTCTCTCGCTCTCTCCTCTCTCTCTCTCTCTCTCTCTCTCTCTCGTCTCTCTCGCTCATGTCTCTCTCTCTCGTTCCTCGCCCTGTCTGACGAGAAACTAGAAAGTATTTTAAATCTGAGTGGCACTTCCGGCGGTGTAGACAATTTTAACAAAAACAAAACGGAACACAATCGATAACAAATTGATGGGACAATGAGCTATTACTCGAGGAAGAAGACAACATACGAGGTTGGATTTTATACGTAGTGGTAAATCATGGGATGGGGTTGAATAAGCAGAGGGGCTACATACCCAGACGCGTAGGGTACCACATGCCCTCGCTTCAGTTATGCCAAGAAGTAGAAATACAACCGTATATTTAACAACCTTTTGCTTGCTAGGTCTTAATACAAAAGCGTGTATTAAAGATTGTATATTCAGTCTTACCTCAGGTAGGCAGCAAGGAGATGGGTGTCAGACGCTGGACGATGTTGGCGCCGCGGCGGAGGACCTGTGTCTGCCTCAAGGCATCTTCTCCTCGCTTATATACATCCTGCTCTAGAGGGGCCACAGCCCAGGTCACGAAGGACGTGATATATCTTGATCAACAGAGCTAGAGACCTTGATACTGGAGACTGGCACTTTGTGTGTCACCAGAGCCGGAAACTGGCACTTTATGTGTTATCAGGGCTGAAAACTGATACTTATTGTGCCACCTCCGTGACTTTGCATCACGAGGGCTTGAGACTGGCACTTACTCGATCACCACTTGTTAATGTAATGGTTGTGGGGGCGAGAGTGTGGCCCGCGTCCCAGTCCGCAGCTCCCAATGCCATAAGACGTAAGTGATTACTCCTATCGCAGGAGAACTGTGATGCCCCTCGAGGATTGGAGACACATTTGTGATCTGTCTACATATTGGGTTCATGTTTAATCAACCTCGGAAATAGGCGCAGTTGTTGAGTACGTATTAGGATTTGATATATATTGATTATATATTGCTATTGGGACAATGCCAGGTGTTGAACTAGATGCATTGACAACTTTCATGTCGAAGAATGGTGTCGCATTTCTATTTTAACAGGATATGTATTTTAAGTCTCACTAGTGGCCAGTTTGTGAAGAGGGTCAGACATCATGCAGACCAGTCCAGCATGCCAGAATCTATATAAAACCTTATGAGCATGCGTACATAAGTGCAGATGTTTTCTGCATGTGGATGGTGCCTTCTGTATCGTACAAAACACTGGTGGCTTGATGGACTAAGGTTTCTGTTCCCCATATTGTTTCTCGGTGAAAGGGGTTTTTGTATTGTTGAAGTGGTTGCATTTACCATTTGTAGTGTCTTGCCTCTGGCAACATATATGGTACAGTACGTATGTACGTACCGTATATGGTACAGTACTTATGTACCATATATGGTACGTACTGTACTGTACCATATATGGTACAGTATATATATTCTATCATGATCAGGATCTGTGAGAGAGAGGACCTTCTCTTTCTTCTGGCAAGGAAAACCTCCAGATGAGACCAGAGAACATGGTGTGGGATTTGCCGTCAGGAATGCACTGTTGGGACACATTATGCCACCGATGGGGGAAACCGAACGAATTCTGTCTTTGCAACTGCACTCCCAAACAGGACCAGTCAATGTAATTAGTGCATATTCACCAACCCTGACTTCTCCAGCAGAGGCAAAGGAATAATTCTACGATGACCTCAACAGAGTCATAGCGAGAATCCCTGTAAAGGAGCCACTGCTCATCCTCGGCGACTTTAACGCCAGAGTGGGGAGCCGAGCACAACATTTGGCCCATTTGTCTGGGTCAATTCGGCATAGGGAGGATGAATGAGAACGGGTAACGTCTGCTAGAACTCTGCTGCCTTCACGGTCTTTGTGTCACCAACACGTTCTTCGGCAGAAAGCCTCAACACCGAGTATCTTGGAGACACCCAGATCCAAGCACTGGCACCAGCTTGACCTGATTCTTACCAGGCGTGCAACGCCATGTGGTCCGTCAATAGCTCATCCGTCTCTGCTTCAAAGGAAACAGAGAATTAGCATAAATGGATTTAAGTCCGAGCGGAAAACTAATGCAAGTGGAGCGCCCCCAGAGCTCTGACCTGGGACCTCTTTTGTTTACTACATACATACACGCGCGCGCGCGCATACACACACACACGCTGGGAAGACGGGACACCACGAGCGTAGCTCTCATCCTGTAAATACACTTAGGTAATTACACACACACACCACACACACACGGGCCGTGTGTGTGTGTGAATAATTATATATATATATAATATATATATATATATATATATATTATATATTATTAGATATATATATATATATATTATTAAATATGACCGAAAAAGTAAGATTAATAATTCTAACAGAATTTTCTCAATCTTTCGTACATTTCTTTTTCACTGTTGGAGGTAAATCAAAAATCAATTCTCCAAAATTCATTTTTATTTCTAGTCTGACGCGTCAACAGGTCCTAGTCAACAACGGCTTCTCCAATGGTTTCGTCGAAGACATCATAAGAAGGAAAGTGAAACGCCATGCAACCTCTGAAGAGACAACTAACACAACACTTATACCCCTATTAGACTTTTACAGGAACTTCTTTTCCACAGCTCATAAAACGGAGGATAGGGTCCTGAAAGATATTGTTAATAGAAACGTTATCCCTACAGACAAAAATCAGAGGATACAACTGACGATTTACTATAAAACCAGAAAAACGGCCAGCCTACTCATGAGAAACTCTCCAGACACAAAACAGAACACTTTAAAAGAGACTAACGTCGTCTATGCCTTCAAATGCCCTCTTGGGACTTTAAGCTCCAAAAAAACCCAGTATATAGGCAAGACAACAACATCTCTTTCTAGGCGTTTAACGATGCATAAGCAACAGGGCTCCATTAAGGAACATATAATCTCTTCCCACAACCAAACCATCGTCAGTGAAATCCTAGTAAACAACACAGAAATCATCGATAGATACAGCGATAGCAGGCGGCTTGACGTTTGCGAGGCACTACACATCAAGAAGTCAACACCAGCAATCAACAGCCAATTAATGCACAACTATATTCTACCCACCTCAAGACTCCGCTCCAATATAGAAGCATCAAGAAATATGGACCAATAGGCTTCTACAAACACTTCTATTCAATACCCATTGTTTCGTGTTCTGTCTTGTGTTGATGAAATTAATACCCTATTAATGCCACCTCTTGTTCTGTCTTGTGTTGATGAAATTAATACCCTATTAATGCCACCTCACCCCATCCACCTCACTCAAATGTAGATATAAAATCGGAGATGCGTAAGTTCTATTCAGTTGTGTATTTGTAAACTAAAGTCTTTGAAAATGTAATAAGTTTTACGAAACGCGCTCCTGTCGCGTCAGACTAGAAATAAAAATGAATTTTGGAGAATTGATTTTTGATTTACCTCCAACAGTGAAAAGAAATGTACGAAAGATTGAGAAAATTCGTGTTAGAATTATTAATCTACTTTTTCGGTTATATTTAATAATATATGTCTACAGGAAAGACTGCTACCAAAATATACTAATATATATATACAGAGCACCACTTGGTTTCCGAACTTTAGTTATCCGAAACTTCCAGTTTCCCGATTGGGGTTGGGGAGTCATGCTACCCGAACAAAGTTCGGGTAGGAGGGGTCCACCAAGCGTCACGCCGGCTTGTGGTGGTGGTGTGGGCGATGGTCCAGTTTGCCCACTGTGACTTCACAGATTCACGGCCTATTATCCTATTATTTTGAATTGCCATAAGGCTGGAATGTTCATTCTGTGCTTTTGTTTTACATATCTGCACAATCAAGAAACATCTGTGCACCATGTTGGCTCCAAATGCACGCATTGCGTCAGTGATGGCTGACTGGTGGGTGGATGGACGATGGAGCTGAGGTGGGAGGCAGTATGAATGGGGGGGGGGGGAGATCAGTGAGAGAGGGGGGGAGAGAGATGCTAGGAGGGAGGGGGAGGTATGGAGAGATGTTAGGAGGTAGGGAGAGATGCTAAGAGGGAGGGGGAGGTAGGGAGAGATGCTAGGAGGTAGGCAGGAAGGGGTGGAAGTAGTGAGAATTAGGGAGGGAAGGCAGGCTGGCAGGCACAGGCAGGCAGGCAGGCACAGGTAGGCAGACAAGCAGGAAGGCAGGCAGGCTAGCTTGCAGGCAGGGAGTGAGTGGGAGTCACGCGGTTGAACCGCGTGACCTTGAGAGATGGGATGTAGGGGGGGCGGGGGTTGTTGGTGGTGGGGGTGAGACCGGCTCATTCCCGAAGATAAGCCTAACACACACTACCCGTTAGCATGATGGCAGGGGGGGAGGCAGGCTGGCTGGAAGGAAGCAGGCTGGCAGGCTGGGAAGGAGGCAGGCTGGCAGGCTGGGAAGGAGGCAGGCTGGGAAGGAGGCAGGCTGGGAAGGAGGCAGGCTGGCAGGCTGGGAAGGAGGCAGGCAGGCAGGCTGGGAAGGAAGCAGGCTGGCAGGCTGGGAAGGAGGCAGGCTGCAGGCTGGGAAGGAGGCAGGCTGGGAAGGAGGCAGGCTGGCAGGCTGGGAAGGAGGCAGGCTGGCAGGCTGGGAGGGAGGCAGGCTGGCAGGCTGGGAAGGAGGCAGGCCTGCATTCTCTCCAAGGTTGAAGGAGGCAGGCTGGAAGGAGGCAGGCTGGGAAGGAGGCAGGCTGGGAAGGAGGCAGGCTGGGAAGGAAGCAGGCTGGGAAGGAGGCAGACAGCAGGCTGGGAAGGAGGCAGGCTGGGAAGGAGGCAGGCTGGAAGGAAGCAGGCTGGCAGGCTGGGAAGGAGGCAGGCTGGGAAGGAGGCAGGCTGGGAAGGAGGCAGGCTGGGAAGGAGGCAGGCTGGGAAGGAGGCAGGCTGGGAAGGAGGCAGGCTGGGAAGGAGGCAGGCTGGGAAGGAGGCAGGCTGGGAAGGAAGCAGGCTGGCAGGCTGGGAAGGAGGCAGCAGGCAGGCAGGAAGCGATATATGGTGTGTGAAGTGAACTGTGAACCACGTGACCTTTGAGAGTGTTGTGTGTGTGTGTATGGGTTTGGGGTGGGGGGTGGGGGTGGTGTGTCGGTGGGGGGGGGAGAGGGGGAGGTGGTGTGTCGGTGGTGGGGGGAGAGGGGGAGGTGTGTCGGTGGTGGGGGGAGAGGGGGAGGTGTGTCGGTGGTGTGGGGGAGAGGGGGGAGTGTGTCGGTGGTGGGGGGAGATGGGGAGGTGTGTCGGTGGTGGGGGAGAGGGGGAGGGTGTGGTGGTGGGGGGAGGAGGGGGAGGTGTGTCGGTGGTGGGGGGAGAGGGGGAGGTGGTCGGTGGTGGGGGGAGAGAGGGGGAGGTGTGTCGGTGGTGGGGGGGAGAGGGGAGGTGTTTTTGGTGGTGGGGAAGGGACCGGCTGACTCCGTAAGCCTAACCACACTCCACAGAGCTGTGACCCAGATTTGTTTCTTAAATGTACAGTACATCATCGTATATTTTAGGCAGGATGTGCCTGCAGGCTGGCAGGAAACATCCAGAGGATGTTTGCCAGACGTCTTAATAATCAGTTAGGAACAATTAAGGACTTTT